AGAAACGAGTTTTCTAAGACAATTTTAAATAGATAAGAATCTTTTGAAAACAAGTCTATATCAAAAAGTTTCTTTTTGAAGCCATTTTCTATAGAAATCTGTTCTTTTTTTCTAACAATTTTCTATAGAAAAGTGTTATTTTAAGACACTTTTTTAAATAATTTTTTATAATAATCTTCTATAGAAAGTGAAATTTATTTTGAAGAAAATTTGTGTTTTTTTATAAACATTTTCTTTAGAATGTTGGTTTTTTACATAATTTTTCTATTAAAAAGTGTATTTTTCAAATTGATTCTATATACAAATTTCTCTTTTTAAGACAATATCTACGAAATTATAGAAATTTTTCTAAGGAATGTTGGCTTTTTACAAAAAATTTCAGGAGATAAGTGTCTTTTTAAAATAAGTGTCTTTAAAGAAATTTCTTTTTAAAACATTTGAATTTTTTTTTAAATTTTTCAATAGAAAATTAATATTTTAATATTCTTTCATAAATATTTTCCATCGAAAAGTTTTGATTTTACTTTATTTCAAGTTCTGTCTGTCTAGTCTGTTCTGTTTGTTCTCTGCCTTAGTTCCAGTTCTGTTCTAGTTCTGTTCTAGTTCTTTTATAATACTTTTCTAGTTCTTTTCTTGTTCTGCTGTAGTTCTGTTCTAGTTCAGTTTAGTTCAGTTCTAGTTCAGTTCTAGTTCAGTTCTAGTTCAGTTCTAGTTCAGTTCTAGTTCAGTTCTAGTTCAGTTCTAGTTCAGTTCTAGTTCAGTTCTAGTTCAGTTCTAGTTCAATTCTAGTTCAGTTCTAGTTCAGTTCTAGTTCAGTTCTAGTTCAGTTCTAGTTCAGTTCTAGTTCAGTTCTAGTTCAGTTCTAGTTCAGTTCTAGTTCAGTTCTAGTTCAGTTCTAGTTCAGTTCTAGTTCAGTTCTAGTTCAGTTCTAGTTCAGTTCTAGTTCAGTTCTAGTTCAGTTCTAGTTCAGTTCTAGTTCAGTTCTAGTTCAGTTCTAGTTCAGTTCTAGTTCAGTTCTATTTCAGTTCTATTTCAGTTCTAGTTCAGTTCTAGTTCTATTTCAGTTCTAGTTCAGTTCTAGTTCAGTTCTAGTTCAGTTCTATTTCAGTTCTAGTTCAGTTCTAGTTCAGTTCTAGTTCAGTTCTATTTCAGTTCTAGTTCAGTTCTAGTTCAGTTCTATTTCAGTTCTATTTCAGTTCTAGTTCAGTTCTAGTTCAGTTCTAGTTCAGTTCTAGTTCAGTTCTAGTTCAGTTCTAGTTCAGTTCTAGTTCAGTTCTAGTTCAGTTCTAGTTCAGTTCTAGTTCAGTTCTAGTTCAGTTCTAGTTCAGTTCTAGTTCAGTTCTAGTTCAGATCTAGTTCAGTTCTAGTTCAGTTCTAGTTCAGATCTAGTTCATTATTAGTTCAGTTCTATTTCAGTTCCAGTTGAGTTCTAGTTCAGTTCAGTTCAGTTCTAGTTCAGTTCAGTTCTAGTTCAGTTCTAGTTCAGTTCTAGTTCAGTTCTAGTTCAGTTCTAGTTCAGTTCAAGGTCAGTTCAAGGTCAGTTCTAGTTCAGTTCTAGTTCAGTTCTAGTTCAGTTCTAGTTAAGTTCTAGTTCAGTTCTAGTTCAATTCTAGTTCAGTTCTAGTTCAGTTTTAGTTCAGTTCTAGTTCAGTTCTAGTTCAGTTCTAGTTCAGTTCTAGTTCAGTTCTAGTTCAGTTCTAGTTCAGTTCTAGTTCAGTTCTAGTTCAGTTCTAGTTTTCGGTAGAAATGGTAAATATTTATAATTTCCCCACAAAATTTTGTTTTAATTTCACCACATTATTTATCATCAATCTGTATAGCATATCTTAGGGCATAAGCTTTATTTCAAATGATAACCCCACACACAATTTAAAACACAGTTTAGATTCTTTATAATTTTATTGAATTATTATTGTTTTTTTGTATTATTTATTAATAAAATGTTTGAAGTTTTTCATTTTGTTGTTGTTGTATGTTAGTTTAACTTAACTATTTATATATGTCTGATTTTATAATTTTGTTTTATTACTAAAATATTCTCATAGAGATAATTGCAAATTGTTTTTTTGTTAAATGTTATTGGGTTTTATTTTCATAATACTTCTCAAAGCTTAAAGATGAAATTGTTGTTTTTTATAAGTTTTTTTTGTAATAATTTTTTTATTTATTTGATATTTCTGTTGTTTGTTAAATGAAGTTTCTTTTTATTAAATTTACTTAAAAAACTAATTATTGAAAATAGAAATTACAATTACTAAAAGGTGTTTCAAATTGCAAATTATGTATTTTTATATTTTTGTTGTATTTGGTGAATATTAATTAATGTTATTTTATAATTATAATAAAAAATATTTTAAATTTTATTAATTTATAATTTTAATATTTTTTGTAATATGTTAAAAATTTGTTATTTTTTTTTTTTGTTATAGTTTGCCACATTGATTTAAATTTTTGTAAAGTAAATTATTGATTTTCTTTTAAAGTTCTTTTAAAGGTGCTAAATTTTTAATTTAATTGATGTTTTCTTTTGTTTTTTTCTTTTTTGGACAAAATTTGTTTTTGTTTTTTTTTTTTTCTTCTAAGGCAATTTATCAATTTAATATTTCTTACTTGTTTTGCTAAAATTTTTTATTATGTTAAATTTAAAATTTTTTTGATTTTAATTTATTAAAAAAAATTAGCTTGGTTTTTTACAACAGAACGAAATCTTATGGCAGGAGCAGAGTTTTTTTTATAATCGAGTCTATTAAGTGTGCAAGAAAAATCAAGTTTTTTGTTTTAATTTTAAAAAGAAGCAATTAAAAAAATAAATTTTTTTACATATAACAAAGTTCACTTAAGGACAAAAAGTTATTAAAAAAAATATTTTTATATAAACTTCACTCTAAGTAACTAAATTTCACTTAAAAAGTTAAATTTTATTAAATATTTCATTGCTAATTTTTTAAAAAATTTTTAGCTAAATTTATATTAAAAAAGTACAAGATATTATTTAAAACAAATTAATATAATACCACTTAATGACTAAACTAAATAGCACCTTAACTAAACAAGAGCCATAATAAAAAATCGTTACATTTTATTTAACAACAAAATGTTCGCTGGTTTATGTAGTGAGAGAAAGAGAGAGTCAATGCAACAAATATAGAACAGATCTAGAACAGAACTAGAACAGAACTAAAACAGAACTAGAACAGAACAGAACTAGAACAGAACTAGAACAGAACTAGAACAGAACTAGAACAGAACTAGAACAGAACTAGAACAGAACTAAACAGAACTAAAACAGAACTAAAACAGAACTAAACAGAACTAGAACAAACTAGAACACAACTAGAACACAACTAGAACACAACTAGAACAGAACTAGAACAGAACTAGAACAGAACTAGAACAGAACTAGAACAGAACTAGAACAGAACTAGAACAGAACTAGAACAGAACTAGAACAGAACTAGAACAGAACAAGAACAGAACTAGAACAGAACTAGAACAGAACTAGAACAGAACTAGAACAGAACTAGAACAGAACTAGAACTAGAACAGAACTAGAACAGATCTAGAACAGAACTAGAACAGAACTAGAACAGAACTAGAACAGAACTAGAACAGAACTAGAACAGAACTAGAACAGAACTAGAACAGAACTAGAACAGAACTAGAACAGAACTAGAACAGAACTAGAACAGAACTAGAACAGAACTAGAACAGAACTAGAACAGAACTAGAACAGAACTAGAACAGAACTAGAACAGAACTAGAACTAGAATAGAACTAGAACTAGAATAGAACTAGAACAGAACTAGAACAGAACTAGAAAAGAACTAGAACAGAACTAGAACAGAACTAGAACAGAACTAGAACAGAACAGAACTAGAACAGAACTAGAACAGAACTAGAACTGAACTAGAACAGAACTAGAACAGAACTAGAATAGAACTAGAACAGAACTAGAACAGAACTTGAACAGAACTAGAACGGAACTAGAAAGAACTAGAACAGAACTAGAACAGAAACTAGAACAGAACTAGAACAGAACTAGACAGAACTAGAACAGAACTAGAACAGAACTAGAACAGAACTAGAACAGAACTAGAACAGAACTAGAACAGAACTAGAACAGAACTAGAACAGAACTAGAACAGAACTAGAACAGAACTAGAACAGAACTAGAACAACTAGAACAGAACTAGAACAGAACTAGAACAGAACTAGAACAGAACTAGAACAGAACTAGAACAGAACTAGAACAGAACTAGAACAGAACTAGAACAGAACTAGAACAGAACTAGAACAGAACTAGAACAGAACTAGAACAGAACTAGAACAGAACTAGAACAACTGAACTAGAACAGAACTAGAACAGAACTAGAACAACTAGAACAGAACTAGAACAGAACTAGAACAGAACTAGAACAGAACTAGAACAGAACTAGAACAGAAACTGACAAACTAGAACAGAACTAGAACAGAACTAGAACAGAACTAGAACAGAACTAGAACAGAACTAGAGAACTAGAACTGAACTAGACTAGAACTGAACTAGAACTGAACTAGAACTGAACTAGAACTGAACTAGAACTGAACTAGAACTGAACTAGAACGAACTAGAACTGAACTACGAACCTAGAACTGAAACTGACTAGAACTGAACTAGAACTGAACTGAACTAGAACTGAACTAGAACTGAACTAGAACTGAACTAGAACTGAACTAGAAGTGAACTAGAACTAGAACAGAACTAAAACAGAACTAGAACAGAACTAGAACAGAACTAGAACAGAACTAGAACAGAACTAGAACAGAACTAGAACAGAACTAGAACAGAACTAGAACAGAACTAGAACAGAACAGAACTAGAACAGAAGTAGAACAGAACTAGAACAGAACTAGAACAGAACTAGGACAGAACTAGAACAGAACTAGAACAGAACTAGAACAGAACTAGAACAGAACTAGAACAGAACTAGAACAGAACTAGAACAGAACTAGATCAGAACTAGAACAGAACAAGAACAGAACAAGAACAGATCTAGAACAGAACTAGAACAGAACTCGAACAGAACTAGAACAGAACTAAAGTAGAACTGAAAAATTGTTCAGTTTTGCATTGACTACAAAATATTCTTAATTGTTTAAATCTTTGGTTTAGTAAAGAAAAAAGATTAGACCTTAATGACTGCCTAAATTTCTTCATACTTAAAGTCTTTTTCGGTGATATCCAGTTATTGTGGGCTTGAGTAAACTAACCTCAACTTAAACTTATTTCAACAGTTCAAGTGCAAAACTAAGGCTTAGTTTTTTTTCAGCATGGTTTAATTTCTTTAGTTAATTGACAACTAATTTTCTTTTTAAGTTTTTTTAAAGCTTTCAAGGACGTTTTTAGAGTTTTTTAAATTTGTTTTTGGCTTAACTTAAAAAAGACAAACATTGGCTTATAAATCTACTACAAAAATCAGTTCAATTTAGCAACAATTTTTTTCACGTATTTATTTTCACTTTTAACTATACTTAACAAATACTCTCGAGACCCTATAAATAAGGGCAAAGAGTCAAACTACCACACACAAACTACAAGTCTACTTAAATAATTAAGTACTAACTATCAAAAAAATGTGTTAAAATTATTTAAGTACAAACAGAAGAGCAAATATTTTGGACTAATGATGGATCACATAAGTACGACAAAAAAGGTGCACAAAATTTGTGTTAAAAATCCAAGACACCTTAAGAGGCCACAAGTTCTGAGACAGAATTTGAGCGACGACGTTTGGTTATTTGTTTCCATAAACGGCGATTTAAGGAGGGCTTGTCCTAAAGTGAAAAAAATAGGAAATATTTAGTTATAACTGAAAGATCGTAGATATAAAAAGTTTCAGACTTACATTATCTTTTCTTGGTGACATGGGTATTTTTGTGTGCTGCGGTGTGCTACTAGCATTTGAATCATTAAGCGAGGTTTGTGAGTTATTGGCGGTTGAGGGATTTCTGAATTACGACGTTTAATAAAGTTTATTCTAGAACAAAATTTAAATAAATAAATTACAAATATTTTCTAAAATTTCCCTTAAAAACCTACAATTTATTAGCCTTTCCCGATTCCATTAGGGCGGATTCATCACGCCCTATTTTACGTTGTCTTTGGGCCATTTTTGGCGTATGTGTAACATCCTCAGTCGCAGCGCCCATCGAAGTAGTACTCGTCGTCCTCGTCAGAGGATTGTTGTTGTGGTAGAAATTGTTGCTCTTCATCATCGTTGCCGTTGACGCCGTCGTCGTCATCATCTTCGTCCCCATCTTGACTTGTGAGCCACTCCTCAATTGAGACATGCAGTATATCTTCTCGCGTCTCGCTAAGATCTCGAGATCGCTTAATTTGCTGTCGCCTCTGTTGTAATTGATATTTTTGCTGCTGCTTACGTCGCTGACGCTCCCGTCTCTGTTGCGATCCACAGATACAGAACTGCTCCATGTATTTCGATTTGGCTGCAGGTGTTGTGGAACGCCGCCTACACGTGCCGAGCCAACGAAAGGCATTGACGAAGCCGGACTGCTGCTGGTGTTGTAATTGTTGCTGTTGTTCTGTGGGGTGTTGTTGCTGCTGCTGTTGATTTGAGGTCGTGGCCGTCGATTCACTGTGGGTGTATCCATCTTCGAGTTTCGCTGTTGAGAGAACGATATGACAGCCTCTTTGGGCTGAACACGATTCGTGGCTGAGCGATTCAATAAATCGCGACCCGTCCGTCGTTGAAAGGTGGAGAGGTCGTGCCTGGGAAAGGGGCAAAAAATTAAAATATGTAATAGTCTTCTTATATCTGTTCAAGATCTGTTCAGTTCTAGTTTTGTTCCAGTTCAGTTCTAGTTCAGTTCTAGTTCAGTTCTAGTTCAGTTCTAATTCATTTCTAGTTCAGTTCTAGTTCAGTTCTAGTTCACTTCTTGTTCAGTTCTAGTTCAGTTCTAGTTCAGTTCTAGTTCAGTTCTAGTTCACTTCTAGTTCAGTTCTAGTTCAGTTCTAGTTCAGTTCTTGTTCAGTTCTAGTTCAGGTCTAGTTCAGTTCTAGTTCAGTTCTAGTTCAGTTCTAGTTCAGTTCTAGTTCAGTTCCAGTTCAGTTTTAGTTCAGTTCTAGTTCAGTTCTAGTTCAGTTCTAATTCAGTTCTAGTTCAGTTCTAGTTGAGTTCTAGTTCAGTTCTAGTTCAGTTCTAGTTCAGTTCTAGTTCAGTTCTAGTTCAGTTCTAGTTCAGTTCTAGTTCAGTTCTAGTTCAGTTCTAGTTCAGTTCTAGTTCAGTTCTAGTTCAGTTCTAGTTCAGTTCTAGTTCAGTTCTAGTTCAGTTCTAGTTCAGTTCTAGTTCAGTTCTAGTTTAGTTCTAGTTCAGTTATAGTTCAGTTCTAGTTTAGTTCTAGTTCAGTTCTAGTTCAGTTCTAGTTCAGTTCTAGTTCAGTTCTAGTTCAGTTCTAGTTCAGTTCTAGTTCAGTTCTAGTTCAGTTCTAGTTCAGTTCTAGTTCAGTTCTAGTTCAGTTCTAGTTCAGTTCTAGTTCAGTTCTAGTTCAGTTCTAGTTCAGTTCTAGTTCAGTTCTAGTTCAGTTCTAGTTCAGTTCTAGTTCAGTTCTAGTTCAGTTCTAGTTCAGTTCTAGTTCAGTTCTAGTTCAGTTCGTTCAGTTCTAGTTCTAGTTCAGTTCTAGTTCAGTTCTAGTTCAGTACTAGTTCAGTACTAGTTCAGTACTAGTTCAGTTCTAGTTCAGTTCTAGTTTAGTTCTAGTTCAGTTCTAGTTCAGTTCTAGTTCAGTTCTAGTTCAGTTCTAGTTCAGTTCTAGTTCAATTCTAGTTCAGTTCTAGTTCAGTTCTAGTTCAGTTCTAGTTTAGTTCTAGTTCAGTTCTAGTTCAGTTCTAGTTCAGTTCTAGTTCAGTTCTAGTTCAGTTCTAGTTCAGTTCTAGTTCAGTTCTAGTTCAGTTCTAGTTCAGTTCTAGTTCAGTTCTAGTTCAGTTCTAGTTCAGTTCTAGTTCAGTTCTAGTTCAGTTCTAGTTCAGTTCTAGTTCAGTTATAGTTCTCTTCTAGTTCTCTGCTAGTTCAGTTCTAGTTCAGTTCTAGTTCAGTTCTAGTTCAGTTCTAGTTCAGTTCTAGTTTAGTTCTAGTTAGTTCTAGTTCAGTTCTAGTTCTCTTCTAGTTCAGTTCTAGTTCAGTTCTAGTTTCGTTCTAGTTCAGTTCTAGTTCAGTTCTAGTTCATTCTAGTTCAGTTCTAGTTCAGTTCTAGTTCAGTTCTAGTTCAGTTCTAGTTCAGTTCTAGTTCAGTTCTAGTTCAGTTCTAGTTCAGTTCTAGTTCAGTTCTAGTTCAGTTCTAGTTCAGTTCTAGTTCAGTTCTAGTTCAGTTCTAGTTCAGTTCTAGTTCAGTTCTAGTTCAGTTCTAGTTCAGTTCTAGTTCAGTTCTAGTTCAGTTCTAGTTCAGTTCTAGTTCAGTTCTAGTTCACTTCTAGTTCTCTTCTAGTTCTCTTCTAGTTCTCTGCTAGTTCAGTTCTAGTTCAGTTCTATTCAGTTCTAGTTCAGTTCTAGTTCAGTTCTAGTTCAGTTCTAGTTCAGTTCTAGTTCAGTCTAGTTCAGTTCTAGTTCAGTTCTAGTTCAGTTCTAGTTCAGTTCTAGTTCAGTTCTAGTTCAGTTCTAGTTCAGTTCTAGTTCAGTCTAGTTCAGTTCTAGTTCAGTTCTAGTTCAGTTCTAGTTCAGTTCTAGTTTAGTTCTAGTTCAGTTCTAGTTCAGTTCTAGTTCAGTTCTAGTTCAGTTCTAGTTCAGTTCTAGTTCAGTTCTAGTACAGTTCTAGTACAGTTCTAGTTCAGTTCTAGTTCAGTTCTAGTTCAGTTCTAGTTCTCTTCTAGTTCAGTTCTAGTTCAGTTCTAGTTCAGTTCTAGTTCAGTTCTAGTTCAGTTCTAGTTCAGTTCTAGTTCAGTTCTAGTTCAGTTCTAGTTCAGTTCTAGTTCAGTTCTAGTTCCGTTCTAGTTCAGTTCTAGTTTCAGTTCTAGTTCAGTCTAGTTCAGTTCTAGTTCAGTTCTAGTTCAGTTCTAGTTCAGTTCTAGTTCAGTTCTAGTTCAGTTCTAGTTCAGTTCTAGTTCAGTTCTAGTTCAGTTCTAGTTCAGTTCTAGTTCAGTTCTAGTTCAGTTCTAGTTCAGTTCTAGTTAGTTCTAGTTCAGTTCTAGTTCAGTTTCTAGTTCAGTTCTAGTTCAGTTCTAGTTCAGTTCTATTTCAGTTCTAGTTCAGTTCTAGTTCAGTTCTAGTTCAGTTCTAGTTCAGTTCTAGTTCAGTTCTAGTTCAGTTCTAGTTCAGTTCTAGTTCAGTTCTAGTTCAGTTCTAGTTCAGTTCTAGTTCAGTTCTAGTTCAGTTCTAGTTCAGTTCTAGTTCAGTTTTAGTTCAGTTCTAGTTCAGTTCTAGTTCAGTTCTAGTTTAGTTCTAGTTCAGTTCTAGTTCAGTTCTAGTTCAGTTCTAGTTCAGTTCTAGTTCAGTTCTAGTTCAGTTCTAGTACAGTTCTAGTACAGTTCTAGTTCAGTTCTAGTTCAGTTCTAGTTCAGTTCTAGTTCTCTTCTAGTTCAGTTCTAGTTCAGTTCTAGTTCAGTTCTAGTTCAGTTCTAGTTCAGTTCTAGTTCAGTTCTAGTTCAGTTCTAGTCAGTTCTAGTTCAGTTCTAGTTCAGTTCTAGTTCAGTTCTAGTTCAGTTCTAGTTCAGTTCTAGTTCAGTTCTAGTTCAGTTCTAGTTCAGTTCTAGTTCAGTTCTAGTTCAGTTCTAGTTCAGTTCTAGTTCAGTTCTAGTTCAGTTCTAGTTCAGTTAGTTCTTCTAGTTCTCTTCTAGTTCTCTTCTAGTTCTCTTCTAGTTCTCTGCTAGTTCAGTTGTATTTCTGTTCTAATTCAATTATTTGTTTAAAAACTCACCCCAGAATAGTTGTTAGATCTGGTCCAGGATCGTAACTTATCAAGTCTTCGTCGCCCAGTATATCGTGATTGAGTGCCAAACGCATCTCCAGGCGAGGACTTAAACCCGAGCCAGCTCCTACGGGCTGTGCACAAGCCGATTTCGAATCTTTGTCTGTAGCGGCCTCTTTCTGTTGCGAATGCTCCTCCTTCTTCCTCTGTTTGGGATCTTTGTCTTTCTTCTCCTGCTGATGCTGCTGCTGTTGTAGTTGTTGATCTTTGTGTTCTTTCTTCGTTGTTGTTGCTGTTGTTATTGGTGTTGTTTTCTCCTTCATCGTCGAAACTGTTGTTGATGAGTTGTAGAGCGGGTTTCGGTTGCTGCCGGCTTCCACCGAGCCCAGCAGCGAGGTCTCGATTATTGTTGACGAGTGTCGTGGTTTCGTTGAGGGTGACACAGTTTCGGCTTTGCAAGCGATTACTGCTGAATACTTTTTGATATTGTAAACATCCTCGATGGGTTGAGGAATTTTCGTGGGCTTGACCGTACTCATCGTCTTCATCGTCGTCGCCGTCGTCGTCATCATGGTCTTCGTCATCGTGGCTGTGCAAGGAGGTGCGCTGATATTTGCCGTGGGAGCGTCGCAAACGTCGCCGACGTCTTTGACACCCACTGAAAAGCCATCGTCAGCAGAAACGCCAGATTTTAGTGGAAGCGGGGGCTGTTTTTTTTTTTTAATAAATTGGATTAAAGGGATTTGGGGTTTTTTGCTGTATAGTATTTACTGACCTGTCTTAAGGGTTTTTGAGGCTGACCACTGGTCTTTAGATTTGTTTGAGTCAATAACAGACGGCGTGGCGGCGGTGGAGGTGGTATAAATTTCGCTGGTCGTGGCAATGTTTTGGCTGTCTTCTTCTCCTCTTCCTTGCTGTAAACGTCTTTGTCTTTCCTGATAGTGGCGTTCACGCTGCTGATTGTTGTAGATGCCAACAAGGGAGCCGGACTCGGTGTTGTCTGTACTATTGTTGAGTCCGTCAAAGAACAGGTCGTTGTCATTATCTGCTGGCTCTTCGGCACCATCGTTGTGGCTGCCGTTGCTGTCATCATTAATGTGGTTGAGGCTGAGATTACTACCATGGTTTTGGAGGAGGTGTGTAAACTCGTTGCTGTGGCGGGGATAGTAGTTGCCAAAGAACTTATGACTGTCATGCTGGTGGTTGCTATAGGAACAGCTGGCTGATCCAAGAGGTACTCGCAGGATGAGGCCTTCAGAACTGCTGGCGGTAGTAAGGGTTGACTTAGCGGCCGAGGACCCAAGCTGGTGGTTTGTAAATTCGGTTGTAATCTCTCCTCCGTTGAGGTCAGATCCTCGTCCTCCTCGTCGTAATCCGCTGTATTCACCAGATCCTCCTCCTCTTCCTCCCCCTCCTCGCTGGAACTTCCAGCTTCCGAATCCTCTAAATAGTGGCCATTTGTCGTTGTTTCCCCCTACCAATTGTTGGGAATAGAATTCAACTAATCAATTCTGGTTTATAGCAAACTATACGAGTACGTTAAGGTTGCCACGTTTTTTGTTTGTTATTTATTTTTTTTTAGTTTGAGGTTAGAGTGAGTTTTTTTTTTGAGTTTTGAGTTTGGTTTAGAGAATATGTTGAATGATTTTGAGTTATTTTCAAGGCATTTTTTTGTTAGTATTTTAGCCAAGCAAACTTTAAGGCAAAAGCTTTTTGGGTTTTTCTTTGTTAAGTGGCATTTTGAAAACATCAATTGCTTTTGATTTGTATAAGTTTGCAATATTGAACGTTTTGCTAGAGTTTAACTAATTTCACTACAACTTTCTAATGACACATAATGATGTTTGAGATGATGATGATGACAGTGATGAACAATATGACAGTTAGAGTGACAGTTGTTAATATACAATACACATAAACGTACACAGACACACATATATTCAAACACAAATACACAGAAATCATAAATTTTTCAAAATGATCAAAAAGTTTTAATGAGATAAAGTTTTAAAAAAAATTAACACAGCGTTTTAAAAATAAAGCAAAAAGTGGCATGAAAAGAAAGAATTTTAATGAAACATGAGAGAGAGAGTGCTTTTTCGTTAAAAAAAAAATTTACATGCAATTTTTTTAAAGATGACCCACCTTTTTCAATTCTTCACTTTCCTGTTGTGTCTTTTCCTCATCACTTTCCGTTTCCTCCTCGAATAGGGGTTCTAGGCGTCGCCTATTATGTTCTCAATTTAATTGTTTGTGTTTGATTTATTTTTATTTTGTTTGGTCAAAGTGTAGCAAATTTTTCCAAATTTATTTTCATTTCATAGTTATCCGGCATAAGATTTATTCAAATTCACATGTAGATTTATTTGTATGTTTTTTTTTTTTTTTTTTGCAAAATTATATAGTTGAGTTGATGATAATGGTGATTTATGATGTATATATTTTTTTTGATGAAATTTACATAAAAAATTGTGAAAAATTACTTAAACTACAGAGTTCATTGCTTGGTTGTTTTAAATACAAAATAAATAAATGATTATGAAAACCTAAACTAATTTGTTTTCTATCTAGGGTTTTCAAATTACATGATTCTAACTAGCTAGGTTTTTTGATATTAATAAAGACTAACTACTACTAGGATATTTTTCAAAATATCAATAAATTCATTAACGACTTCTGAAATCAATAGGAGCATTAGTAGGAATTCATTTGAAAACCTAACTAAAGCCTTCCACTTAAAAAAATCCTTCTCCAAAGTTTTGAAATTTAACTCCAGAACTCGAAGTTCATCACCAATTCCGTTTTAGTTAAATTCTAGTTCTGTTCTGGTTCTGTTCTAGTTCTGTTCTAGTTCTATTCCAGGTTCTGTTCTATTTCTGTTCTAGTTCTGTTCTAGTTCTGTTCTAGTTCTGTTCTAGTTCTGTTCTAGTTATGTTCTAGTTATGTTCTAGTTCTGTGTCTAGTTCTGTTCTAGTTCTGTTTCTAGTTCTGTTCTAGTTCTGTTCTAGTTTCTGTTCTAGTTCTGTTCGAGTTCTGTTCTAGTTCGTGTTCTAGTTCTGTTCTAGTTCTAGGTTCTGTTCTAGTTCTGTTCTAGTTCGGTTCTAGTTCTGTTCTAGTTCTGTTCTTAAGTTGTCTGTTCTAGTTCTGTTCTAGTTCTGTTCTAGTTCTGTTTCTAGTTCTGTTCTAGTTCTGTTCTAGTTCTGTTCTAGTTCTGTTGCTAGTCTGTTCTAGTTCTGTTCTAGTTCTGTTCTAGTTCTGTTCTAGTTCTGTTCTAGTTCTGTTTCTAGTTCTGTTCTAGTTCTGTTCTAGTTCTGTTCTAGTTCTGTTCTAGTTCTGTTCTAGTTCTGTTCTAAGTTCTGTTCTAGTTCTGTTCTAGTTCTGTTCTAGTTCTGTTCTAGTTCTGTTCTAGTTCTGTTCTAGTTCTGTTCTAGTTCTGTTCTAGTTCTGTTCTAGTTCTGTTCTAGTTCTGTTCAGTTCTGTTCTAGTTCTGTTCTAGTTCTGTCTAGTTCTGTTCTAGTTCTGTTCTAGTTCTGTTCTAGTTCTGTTCTAGTTCTGTTCTAGTTCTGTTCTAGTGCTGTTCTAGTTCTGTTCTAGTTTTCTGTTCGTCTAGTTCTGTTAGTTCCTGTTCTAGTTCTGTTCTAGTTCTGTTCTAGTTCTGTTCTAGTTCTGGTCTAGTTCGTTCTAGTTCTGTTCTAGTTCTGTTCTAGTTCTGTTCTAGTTCTGTTCTAGTTCTGTTCTAGTTCTGTTCTAGTTCTGTTCTAGTTCTGTTCTAGTTCTGTTCTAGTTCTGTTCTAGTTTCTAGTTCTGTTCTAGTTCTGTTCTAGTTCTGTTCTAGTCTGTTCTAGTTCTGTTCTAGTTCTGTTCTAGTTCTGTTCTAGTTCTGTTCTAGTTCTGTTCTAGTTCTGTTCTAGTTCTGTTCTAGTTCTGTTCTAGTTCTGTTCTAGTTCTGTTCTAGTTCTGTTCTAGTTCTGTTCTAGTTCTGTTCTAGTTCTGTTCTAGTTCTGTTCTAGTTCTGTTCTAGTTCTGTTCTAGTTCTGTTCTAGTTCTGTTCTAGTTCTGTTCTAGTTCTGTTCTAGTTCTGTTCTGTTCTGTTCTGGTTCTGTTCTAGTTCAGTTCTAATACATTTCTGGTTCAGTTTTTATTAAGTTTCTGTTCTCTTATAAATTTAGTTTGAAAATCTGAACTGAGCGCTCCAAAAATTGTAATTTAGGAAGTGTTTATTAATATGCCATGTCTTCTATAATATTTCTCTAAATAATAGTTGATATATATTTCAACGAAATATTTCTATATGATAAATAAACTAAAGAATGAATAACTGCTTTATAGAATGTTTTTGTAAATATATAACGATATAAACCAAAGAATGTTTTAAGAACAATATTAACCTGTAAAAACTACATAAAAGTATGGAGAAAAAAAGAGAAATATTTACGAGATATTACTATAACTTTATATTGGTATATATAAATACAAATGGAGTAAGTAATTATGTAAAGAAAGACTTTCAAATAACAACTATTTTGTACATGTATTAAATTTTAGTTTAAATTATATATTACTTAGTTTATAGGGAAATAACAACTTTACTAAGATATTAGAAAAAATGTTTAAGAATTCACACTTACCGTGGCAATAGACCGCGTATAGTGCTGGCCGACATGGGAGGAGCCATTAATAATTCATCCATCATAAGCTCGGTATCATCGTCATCATTTAAAGAGTTGCTCGATTTGGTGGGAGACTAAAGACCAAAATGGTTTAAGATATATCAAATTATGTTAACACATAAGCTTACCGATTGGGTATTTTCCGAATTGGCCAAATGTAGGTCATCATTGTCTCCCCCACTGGTGGGTGTACCCCATACCTCTTCTCCTGACGTCGCACCTGAAGTACACTCGTCCATTTGCTCTTCCGGATCTGAGGTTATGCCCGAACCATTACCCACATTAGCTTGTTCTTGATTCCATCTTCCCAAATATTTGTCTATAAAGGCGCGCGACTCTTCAAAGAATGACATTTTTCCCGATACAAATGTTGAGGCACGACTTGTCCAGGCATTACCATTCAAACTATTCGAAGAGCCGGCCTCTTCGGAATTCTCATAGATAGCCTTAGTTACCACGCGAATTTCATTGTCCAGTTCTATGTTATCGGCTCTAGCCTTATCCATTAGTTCCTCATCTTCATCATCCACTTCCTCGTCATCGTCTTCATCCTCATCATCATAGTCATCTAGATTGTCTTCCAAACGATCTTCGGAGGGTAAACGTTCCAAGCTAGACATAGTGCCAAAACGCCTAAGAGTACTAGACATGGGCCGATATGGTGGCTCCTCATCTATAGGGGATTCATCACAAGAATCTTCGGGTATATTTTCTATAACTGCCTGCCGTGGACCTAAACTGATTAAATTGGCTGTAGCTGTACTGGTGGTGACATGAGTGGTATTATCCCATACATTCGTGGTAGTTTTCGTTAGCACCGAATCGGGGGTGGCGGGCACTATGGATATGGTAGGCACAAAACCATTCTCTGTATAAGAAGCAAAATTTTGGGTGGGTGTTGGCACAGGAGCCGTGGGAGTCTTCATGTTCAATAGTTTGGCGGCCGGCGTCAATTGGGCCAGGCCAATTAACATTAAGGAAAGATCATCATCTTCTTTATCCTGTTTGGTATTCAAATTTTCCTGTATGGTTTTATCACAAGTGCATTTACAATATTTGTGAGGATCATCGGAGGAGTTTTTGCTTTCCTCTTCCGTTTGCAGAGATCTTGGCATTGTGGGAGATTGTTTGGGTGATTCCAGCATTTTACAGGTTTTCAGTTCCACCTCCTCGGGACTTAGTGTAGTATTGGCAAAGTCTTCGGGTAAACATTTGCAAGTGCAGGGCACAAATTGCTGAGATTTGGTGCTGCTGCTTACCGATCTTCCCGATTTGGGTGTTAAAGGTGTCTTGGGGGATTTTGGTGATTTGGGAGACTTAGGGGATTTGGGTGATCTGGGAGCCTTGGTGGGGGTAACCACTACCTTAGTATCTTCCACTATAACTATTTTGGCCGTTTCGGTAATGGTAACACTCATCTTAACCATTTCATTGGCCTTAGTTTCCTCCTCCAATTCTTTAGCTTTCTGCGGTTGTATGCTGGCAAACCTACGAGGTGGTGGTTCTGGTTTAAACTGCTCTTTTTCCTCACTCTCTGTCCCTGAAGAGGTGGCCGTGCTGGTGGCTGTCGTATTGGGTGTTGTTGTCGTCGTCGTTGTTGTCTCTTCCTGCTTAGAACAGTGACCATTCATGAGAATAGCCGCCTCATTGTGTTCATCTAGAATTCGTAATTTATGGATGCTGTCGGTGATTCTTCTTCGCGCCTCCTCGACACCGCTGCTACTGATACTGCTACTGGTATTACCCGCCGTATTCCCATCATCCGTGGCCTCTGATTGATAAACATCATCGGATATTAATTGCGCCACATCACTTTCCGTATCACCTACATCACATCTACTACTACTAGCCGCTTGATTATCGCCAGGTTTCTCACCCGTTACCGTACCAGATGATATGCTAGTTACACTACTGGCTTGACTATTACTACTACCGCCGCCGCCACCGTTAACATTACAACAGCGTTGCGGTGATGATTGACTATGTTGTACCTTTAGTGAGTGACAAATTAACGCCGAGGCTGAGCGCATTTGTGAATTGGGAGAGAGAGGACATTTAGTTTTATCCTCTCCACTCAATGCCTCTCCATGATGATGACTCTTTGATTGATGGGGCGATGTAGGACTGGCATTTTGCTGTTGATGTTGCTGCTGTTGTTGGCAATTTTTATGACAATGACGACAAACGGCTAATTTATCTAATACAATGGGACTAGAACGTACGGTGATCTGTGAAGGGTATAGGAATGAAGAAAAATGGGGGAAAATATAAAATGTTTTGAAATGATTTGTAAATGTGTCTAGGTGGAGGTAATGAAAGGTGCTTTAAATAAGAACTTAAGTTGAGATTAAACTAAACTATAATCTGGCTTACAGCGTGGTATATTGCCTGGTATAAAGTGTGATACAAAGTCCAGAGTATAACCCGAACTAGAACCTGGACTATAGCTCAATAGTTTTGTGATTTATCGATTAGACTTCATACAGATCTATAGTCTGGTCGATTACTAGATGTATTCTCTGGGATATAATCTTGATTAAAGTTTAGTCTATAATCTGACTAATTGTTTGGTTTATTGTACGGACCATACACTTGTCTATAGTCTGGAATACAGCCTGATCAATTGTCCGGACCAAATCTTATCTAATCTAAAGTATAGATTATTGTTTGCTCAATAGTAGAAACTAAAGTAAAGTAAATAGCCTTGTTATATTCTAGACTACGCTGTAGACTAGACTATAGACTAGACTATAGACTACACTATAGACTACACTATAGACTAGACTATAGACTAGACTATAGACTAGACTATAGACTAGACTATAGACTAGACTATAGACTACACTATAGACTATATTATAGACTAGACTACAGACTAGACTATAGACTAGACTATTGACTAGACTATTGACTAGACTATAGACTAGACTATAGACTGGACTATAGACTAGACTATAGACTAGACTATAGACTAGACTATAGAATAGACTATAGACTAGACTATAGACTAGACTATAGATTAGACTATAGATTAGACTATAGACTAGACTATAGACTAGACTAGACTACACTATAGACTAGACTAGACTATAGACTAGACTAGACTAGACTATAGACTATAGACTAGACTAGACTGTGGACTAGACTAGACTAGACTATAGACTAGACTAGACTATAGACAAGACTATAGACTAGACTATAGACTAGACTATAGACTAGACTATAGACTAGACTATAGACTAGACTATAGACTAGACTATAGACTAGACTATAGACTAGACTATAGACTAGACTATAGACTAGACTATAGACTAGACTAGACTATAGACTAGACTATAGACTAGACTATAGACTAGACTATAGACTAGACTAGACTAGACTAGGCTAGACTATAGACTATAGACTATAGACTGGACCATAGACTAGACTATAGACTGGACTATAGACTAAACTATAGACTAGACTATAGACTGGACCATAGACTAGACTGGACTGTAGACTAGACTAGACTATAGACTGGACTGTAGACTAGACTATATACTAGACTATAGACTAGACTTTAGACTAGAGTATAGACTAGACCGTAGACTAGACTGTAGACTAGACTATAGACTAGACTATAGACTAGACCGTAGACTAGACTATAGACTAGACTATAGACTATAGACCATAGACTAGACTATAGATTAGACCATAGACTAGACTATAGACTAGACTATAGACTAGAGTATAGACTAGACCGTAGACTAGACTATAGACTAGACTATAGACTAGACTATAGACTAGACTATAGACTAGACTATAGACTAGACTATAGACTAGACTATAGACTAGACTATAGACTAGACTATAGACTAGACTATAGACTAGACTATAGACTAGACTATAGACTAGACTATAGACTAGACTATAGACTAGACTATAGACTAGACTATAGACTAGACTATAGACTAGACTATAGACTAGACTATAGACTAGACTATAGACTAGACTATAGACTAGACTATAGACTGGACCATAGACTAGACTATAGACTGGACTATAGACTGGACCATAGACTAGACTATAGACTGGACTATAGAATAGACTATAGACTATAGACTGGACCATAGACTAGACTAGACTAGACTGGACTGTAGACTAGACTATATACTAGACTATAGACTAGACTATAGACTAGACTATAGGCTAGATTATAGACTAGACTAGACTATAGACTAGACTATAGACTAGACTATAGACTAGGCTATAGACTAGACTATAGACTAGACTATAGACTAGACTATAGACTAGACTATAGACTAGACTATACATTAAACTTTAGACTAGTCTTTAGACTTGTCTGGCCTATAGTCTGGACTATGGTCTTCTCTATTGTTTGGTCTATAATATTTAATAATAATTTCATCAATCGTCTAGTTACAGTCCGGTCTACACTTTGCTCGATAGTCTGGTGCATCTTCAGGATTATATTGTACTGTGCAATACATCGTACTTTCTAGCTTGTGACTACTAATACTCTCTTGATCCTATAGAATCTCTTTTCTCAGTAATTCCCCCTTACCTGACTATCCGATGTTGTACTATGCGACTGACTGATCTGACTAACACCCTCCGAAAATGAGATGACATCACTCATGCTCATCTCATCGACACCACTCAAACGTTTACCACCAAAATTTGGCTTTACCGAAAAGTGGCCATTCTCCTTGGCCAAATTCAATTCTTTTGTACGTTTCTCCAATTGCTGGCGGGTCCAGTAGGTGATACGTTCATCGTGATCGTGATCCTGATCTTGATACGTGACGGCATCCTCTGTGTCAGTATGACCTGGAGGCGGTGAGGGTTCTCCCGTTAGAGAGTGGGCCACAGCTAAACGTGCCTGTTCTTGCTGTTTATCCAGCTGACCCTTCATCCAGTTGGCCAAGTGTAAGGCGCTAGACTTGGGTGTACCGGTTTTATTGAGTATACGGCATTTTTCATCGATAAGTTTTTCGATTTGTTCGGAAACATTGCTGGACAAGCGATTATTCTAAGAGAAGAGAGGGAAAGGTAATAAAGAGGAAATTGAGCAAGTTTTTTTTAAATAGGATTTAAGAGAAAAAAATTAAGTCACATTTAGGGGTTACAAGTTTTCTTTTTTTGCAATTTTAAGAAAATAGTGATGGGCTCATATTGAAAGTTAGATTTTTATTAATAAAATGTTTAATGTTTTTTACTATAATTTATTATTTAAATAATTCTATATAATTTTTAAAAAATTTTAATAAAACTGAAAAAATTCTTTGCTTAAAAACGCTTGTTGTAGTTGTTACTTAATTTTTAATTTACTTTTATTTAAAAATTATTGTATAAAAAACTGAGTCCATCACGTTATTATCTAGTTATTAAAATATGTTTTTTTTATCAGTTTTTCTCATTATGTAAATTTTATAGTGTTTAAAGCCTTTTAAACCGATTTGTGACTTAATTTTTTTATTAAAATTTTATTTAAAATTTATTTTAATTTTTTTTAAAATTTATCTTACGTTTTTTTTATTGGTCTCTCTGTGTGTTCTTTTCAAGAAATAATAAACTTACAAGCGTTTTTAGTCAAAGAATTTTTTTATTTATTTATTAATTTAATTTTGTTTTCGGTTTTTTTTCCTTGGTTTTTATTCTTTTTTGGGAATGTAGGTTTAGGTGTTTTGATTCGAAATTTACAAATCTGAATTAAAGTTTTGAAATGATTTATGGTTTTTCAATTTTGAATGGTATTTTATATAAGATTTTAGCTGTTTGTTCTGTTTTGGCTGTTAAGGTTTTATGCTTTGGCAAAAAATTATTATTTAATTAAAAATTTAAACAGTGCTGGACATTTGTTTAAAATAAATTTTAAAGAAAAAATAATTGATTTTAAGTTTTAAGCAAATATTTTTTTAATTTAAGAAAAAAACTGTATAGCCTAGTCTATAGTCTAGTTTATAGTCTAGTCTATAGTCTAGTCTATAGTCTAGTCTATAGTCTAGTCTATAGTCTAGTCTATAGTCTAGTCTATAGTCTAGTCTATAGTCTAGTCTATAGTCTAGTCTATAGTCTATAGTCTAGTCTATAGTCTAGTCTAGTCTAGTCTATAGTCTAGTCTTAGTCTATAGTCTAGTCTATAGTCTAGTCTATAGTCTAGTCTATAGTCTAGTCTATAGTCTAGTCTATAGTCTAGTCTATAGTCTAGTCTATAGTCTAGTCTATAGTCTAGTCTATAGTCTAGTCTAGTCTAGTCTATAGTCTAGTCTATAGTCTAGTCTATAGTCTAGTCTAGTCTAGTCTAGTCTAGTCCATAGTCTAGTCTATAGTCTAGTCGATAGTCTAGTCTATAGTCTATTCTATAGTCTAGTCTTTAGTCTAGTCTATAGTCTAGTCTATAGTCTAGTCTATAGTCTAGTCTATAGTCTAGTCTATAGTCTAGTCTATAGTCTAGTCTATAGTCTAGTCTATTGTCTAGTCTATAGTCTAGTCTATAGTCTAGTCTATAGTCTAGTCTATAGTCTAGTCTATAGTCTAGTCTATAGTCTAGTCTATAGTCTAGTCTATAGTCTAGTCTATATTCTAGTCTATAATCTAGTCTATAGTATAGTCTATAATCTAGTGTATAGTCTAGTCTATAGTCTAGTCTGTAGTATAGTCTATAGTCTAGTCTATAGTCTTGTCTATAGTCTAGTCCATAGTCTACTCTATAGTCTAGTCTATAGTCTAGTCTATAGTCTGGTCTAGAGTCTGGTCTATAGTCTAGTCTATAGTCTTGTCTATAGCCTAGTCTATAGTCTAGTCTATAGTCTAGTCAATAGTCTAATCTATAGTCTGGTCTATAGTCTAGTCTATAGTCTAGTCTATAGTCTAGTCTACAGTCTATTCTAAAGTCTAGTATACAGTCTATTTTATTGTTTAATCAGGGGTCTAGTCGTTAAGATTTCCTTTTTTTTAATTTTCTCTCTGAAAACAGTGTAATTTGTCACCATTCATCATTTGCATTTTGCGGGCAAAAATGAAATCATAAAAAGGTAAATTGCATTTAATGCAATTGACGAAACATTTTATTGCATATATTTGCTACAAATGCAAATAAATTTTATGATTATAATAAAAAAAACTTCCAACAGCCAATAGTTGCAATCTGCATACAACAAATGACATCATAGTTTAAAGATAACGACATCAAAACGTAGTTGTTGGCCAGTCGAACAGTGCAACGCGACAAATTAGTGATAAGCTAGACAGACGCAAGCTTAAGAAGATGTCATCATAGAAATAGTACAAAAAAAGTATAAAATAATGAAAAAGAAATTTTTCTTTAAAAATACCCTACAAACGGTAGAAGTGGAAAATAAATGTATTTTAAAATAAGTAACTGAATCACTTATTTTTGTGATTATTTAAGTAGTACGGTTCTTGAGAAGTCGTTTATAACTCGAGGATTTCTAGCATTTTGTTTATGTTTGATCATTATCTGGTTTGTTTTGAAGTCTTGCTTTCAAATAAGTCATTTGTTTTTAGCAAAAGTCAAGTGAAGACGAAACAAAAAAATGAACATCATATCAATCTAGAAGAAAAATAACAACAAATTATACTACGATAATAATATTTTGCTAAAAATGTTTCATAATTATTACTTTGACCTTGCAACCCTGACAGATAAGTGAAGAATTTTAGAAGAATATAAAGAAACTATGGGGGCAGCAAAAGTACTTTTTGAGAAAAAAATAGCACAAAGTATTTTTAGTTGTGGAAATGGTGAAATCTGGTCTACAGTCTATTCTATAGTATAGTCTGCGGTTTAGTTCAGTCTATAGTATAGTATTTAGTCTAGTCTTGTATATAGTCAAGTCTATAATGGTGTCTATAGTCTAGTCCAATCTAGTCTAGTCTATAGTCTAGTCTCGTATATAGTCAAGTTTATAATATAGTCTGTAATATAGTATATAGTCTAGTCTATAGCCTAGTCTATAGTCTAGTTTACAGTCTAGTCAATAGTCTAGTCTGTAGTCTAGTCTATAGTCTAGTCTATACTCTAGTCTATAGTCTAGTCTATAGTCTAGTCAATAGTCTAGTCAATAGTCTAGTCTGTAGTCTAGTCTATAGTCTAGTCTATAGTCTAGTCCACAGTCTAGTCTATAGTCTTGTCTATAGTGTAGTCTATAGTCTAGTCTATAGTCTAGTCTATAGTCTAGTCTATAGTCTAGTCTATAGTCAAGTCTATAGTCTAGTCTATAGTCTAGTCTATAGTCTAGTCTATAGTCTAATCTATAGTCTAGTCTATAGTCTAGTCTAGTCTATAGTCTAGTCTAGTCTATAGTCTAGTCCATAGTCTTGTCTATAGTCTAGTCTATAGTCTAGTCCATAGTCTTGTCTATAGTCTAGTCTATAGTCTAGTCCATAGTCTAGTCTATAGTCTAGTCTATAGTCTTGTCTATAGTCTAGTCTACAGTCAAGTCTATAGTGCAGTCTAGTCCAGTCTAGTCCAGTCTAGTCTATTGTCTTGTCTATAGTCTAGTCTATAGTCTAGTCCATAGTCTAGTCTATAGTCTAGTCTATAGTCTAGTCTATAGTCTTGTCTATAGTCTAGTCTATAGTCAAGTCTAGAGTCAAGTCTATAGTCCAGTCTATACTCTAGACTATACTCTAGACTATAGTCTATTCTATAGTCTAGTCTATAGTTTAGTCTATAGTCTAATCTATAGTCTAGTCTATAGTCTAGTCTATAGGCTAGTCTATAGTCTAGTCTATAGTCTAGTCTATAGTCTAGTCTATAGTCTAGTCTGTAGTCTAGTCTACAGTCTATACTATAGTCTAGTCTATAGTCTAGTCTATAGTCTAGTCTATAGTCTAGTCTATAGTCTAGTCTATAGTCTAGTCTATAGTCTAGTCTATAGTCTAGTCTATAGTCTAGTCTATAGTCTAGTCTATAGTCTAGTCTATAGTCTAGTCTATAGTCTAGTCTATAGTCTAGTCTATAGTCTACAGTCTAGACTATATTCCAGTCTATACAGTATGTACTTTATTCAAAAGTACTTTGTCTGAAAATTTTGCTTTGTTGTTTGTTCTGCTATTTTTCTACCCATCACTGCTCATCATTCATTGACGATTCGTCGAATCAAAGAATACTCACAGTAGTTGTAAATAAACACCAGACAAGATGACATCAAAACTGTGGCTGCTATTCTGTCTACTCACGCTGCAGGAACATGTGCATACGGAGACCAATACCTCTCCACAAGGACTAAAAAATTTACTAATATTTAATCTAACCCCGGCGGCTACCAATGATTCCTGTGCCTATTTCAATCTCTATAAACATCTCTTCGAAGAAATGGACAGTCAAAATCATCCCATGATACAGGTCTACTATAATCGTGTCATACAAAAACTATACGATTCCGTGCCAGCCCACATATTGTTCCTGCAACTTTGGCAGATTTATAATAAATGTGATCCTTCGACATTTGTGGCCATGGTAAGGGCGCAATTGAGCTTATTTTGGCTGCATAATATGAACGAGTATCCGGATAATGATTATTTGCTAATGGTGGCCAATGGTTTATATAAAATCAAGAATTATTATCTTTATAATAGCCTAAATACTCGGACCCAAGTACTATTCGAAAGGGCTATGAAAAGTCTACCCAATTCACTACATAATTTATTTGGTCATCAGGAATTTTGTCTTATGAATCGCAAATATCAGGAAATGTTATACCAAACCAACAGTGATGAATTTGTCACCAATCAAGAGATACGTTTCGCTTTCACTTGGCACTTTATGAAACGTTATAACGATGGCAAGGGTAAAATAAAACCCGTTTTTGATTACTTCAATCTAACGTCTTTCGGCGAAGACGAGGATGATGATCTCATAGAGGATCAAGAGACTACCGATTTAGTTGGTATTCCTTCAACCCTAACTATAGCATTATATAGCAAACATTTCAAAAATTTCTACTCAAGATGGCCTGTGTATGATCAAAAGATTGGCGGCAATTTGTCTGGCATCCCTGAGTTCACCTGGCAACAGGATTATCATGTTTGGTCTGTTAAAATAGTGGATGATGATCAGCTGGTGTTCTTTCAAAATCAATACGTAATGTGTGCCACTTCATTTTACGATAATAAAAGAAGGTTTGTTTTTGGTGTGAAAAATCGTTCGCTATTGGATACTGAGTGCCAGTGGAGTGCTGGCAAGTGTGATCGCAGATAAGTGCAGAGGGCGCAGTGAACAGTATAGATTTCTTTTTAGATTTAAGTGAATAATTTTTAAGTGCTTTTTAAACCTTAAGTGTCAAACGAAGTCATTTATTTAATTTAATAAAAACATTTTTAATAACGCAATCGAAAAGTTTTAATAAAAAGGTGTATTGAAAACATTTCGGACAGGACTATATTCAGGGATAAAGGAGCAAAAGCTAAAGATAAGACTCGACCTGAACTTGTATTGAACTGGAACTAGAAATGAACTAGAACAGAACTAGAACAGAACTAGAACAGAACTAGAACAGAACTAGGACAGAACTAGAACAGAACTAGAACAGAACTAGAACAGAACTAGAACAGAACTAGAACAGAACTAGAACAGAACTAGAACAGAACTAGAACAGAACTAGAACAGAACTAGAGCAGAACTAGAACAGAACTAGAACAAAACTAGAACAGAACTAGAACAGAACTAGAACAGAACTAGAACAGAACTAGAACAGAACTAGAACAGAACTAGAACAGAACTAGAACAGAACTAGAACAGAACTAGAACAGAACTAGAACAGAACTAGAACAGAACTAGAACAGAACTAGAACAGAACTAGAACAGAACTAGAACAGAACTAGAACAGAACTAGAACAGAACTAGAACAGAACTAGAACAGAACTAGAACAGAACTAGAACAGAACTAGAACAGAACTAGAACAGAACTAGAACAAACTAGAACAGAAACTAGAACAGAACTAGAACAGAACTAGAACAGAACTAGAACAGAACTAGAACAGAACTAGAACAGAACTAGAACAGAACTAGAACAGAACTAGAACAGAACTAGAACAGAACTAGAACAGAACTAGAATAGAACTAGAACAGAACTAGAACAGAACTAGACAGAACTAGAACAGAACTAGAACAGAACTAGAACAGAACTAGAACAGAACTAGAACAGAACTAGAACAGAACTAGAACAGAACTAGAACAGAACTAGAACAGAACTAGAACAGAACTAGAACAGAACTAGAACAGAACTAGAACAGAACTAGAACAGCACTAGAGCAGAACTAGAACAGAACTAGAACAGAACTAGAACAGAACTAGAACAGAACTAGAACAGAACTAGAACAGAACTAGAACAGAACTAGAACAGAACTAGAACAGAACTAGAACAGAACTAGAACAGAACTAGAACAGAACTAGAACAGAACTAGAACAGAACTAGAACAGAACTAGAACAGAACTAGAACAGAACTAGAACAGAACTAGAACAGAACTAGAACAGAACAGAACTAGAACAGAACTAGAACAGAACTAGAACAGAACTAGAACAGAACTAGAACATAACTAGAACAGAACTAGAACAGAACTAGAACAGAATTAGAACAGAACTAGAACAGAACTAGAACAGAACTAGAACAGAACTAGAACAGAACTAGAACAGAACTAAAACAGAACTAGAACTGAACTAAAACTCTAGACTATAGTTTGGACAAGAACGGTAATCAGTACTATTAAACAATTTTTAGTCTATTGACTATAGTCTTGTCAATAAACTACAGTTAGGACTAGAGACCAAAGTCTATAGTGTTTTAAAGTCTTATTTTGATTTCTATTTTAAGTGTAACAAGCCCAAGATTCTTAACTAATATCCAGCACTGTTCATTTTCTTTTAATTTTTAAATATTTTGCATAAAATTCTATTACAAAGGAATAAATTTTTGCAAAATATATAGGATTTTCCTAAAGAGAAATTAGTTAAAATGTTTTATGTTTCTTATTTTCATGTTTATAAAATTTTAACTAATTTTAACAAAATTCTTTAAAACGAATTTTCTATATAAATATGAATTAATATTTAATTATCACTAAAATTTTGGTTTAACTTAATTTACGATGTTGGACTAAAATTACAACTACTTGTGTGGAATAAGTAAAATTTACAATACAATGTTAAAATTTGATAAGAAAAAATATAGATAAAAATTTAAAATTAAAAATTTCACAATTTTAAGTATTGTTAACAATAGAAAAGTTTTTTAAATAAAACTTTTAACATAAGCTACAATTAATATAATAAAATTTTAAATAAAATTGAATTAAAAATAGTAAAAATACTACTCTCTCCAAAAGTTTTAAAAATTTATGTTTTTTCATCAACATTAGAAAAGAATATTTACAAAATTTATAGAAATACTACTTTTTAAAAAACGTAGTGAACTAGAACTGAACTAGTACTGAACTAGTACTGAACTATTACTGAACTAGAACAGCACTAAAGCAGAACAGAACAGAACTGCACTAGAACAGAACTATGTAGAACAGAACTAGAACAGAACTAGAACAGAACTAGAACAGAACTAGAACAGAACTAGAACAGAACTAGAACAGAACTAGAACAGAACTAGAACAGAACTAGAACAGAACTAGAACAGAACTAGAACAGAACTAGAACAGAACTAGAACAGAACTAGAACAGAACTAGAACAGAACTAGAACAGAACTAGAACAGAACTAGAACAGAACTAGAACAGAACTAGAACAGAACTAGAACAGAACTAGAACAGAACTAGAACAGAACTAGAACAGAACTAGAACAGAACTAGAACAGAACTAGAACAGAACTAGAACAGAACTAGAACAGAACTAGAACAGAACTAGAACAGAACTAGAACAGAACTAGAACAGAACTAGAACAGAACTAGAACAGAACTAGAACAGAACTAGAACAGAACTAGAACAGAACTAGAACAGAACTAGAACAGAACTAGAACAGAACTAGAACAGAACTAGAACAGAACTAGAAAAGAACTAGAACAGAACTAGAACAGAACTAGAAAAGAACTAGAACAGAACTAGAACAGAACTAGAACAGAACTAGAACTAGAACTGAACTAGAACTGAACTAGAACTGAACTAGAACTGAACTAGAACTGAACTAGAACTGAACTAGAACTGAACTAGAACTGAACTAGAACTGAACTAGAACAGAACTAGAACAGAACTAGAACTGAACTAGAACTGAACTAGAACTGAAATAGAACTGAACTAGAACAGAACTAGAACAGAACTAGAACAGAACTAGAACAGAACTAGAACAGAACTAGAGCAGAACTAGAACAGAACTAGAACAGAACTAGAACAGAACTAGAACAGAACTAGAACAGAACTAGAACAACTAGAACAGAACTAGAACAGAACTAGAACAGAATTAGAACTGAACTAGAACAGAACTAGAACAGAACTAGAATAGAACTAGAACAGAACTAGAACAGAACTAGAACAGAACTAGAACAGAACTAGAACAGAACTAGAACAGAACTAGAACAGAACTAGAACAGAACTAGAACAGAACTAGAACAGAACTAGAACAGAACTAGAACAGAACTAGAACAGAACTAGAACAGAACTAGAACAGAACTAGAATAGAACTAGAACAGAACTAGAACAGAACTAGAACAGAACTAGAACAGAAATAGAACAGAACTAGAACAGAACTAGAACAGAACTAGAACAGAACTAGAACAGAACTAGAACAGAACTAGAACAGAACTAGAACAGAACTAGAACAGAACTAGAACAGAAATAGAACAGAACTAGAACAGAACAGAACTAGAACAGAACTAAAAATAGAACTGAGCAGAATTTAAACTTATAATTAAACAAATTAAATAAAATTTAAAAAAAAAATTTAATTTTTTTGGTAAAAATGTTGACAAATGATTTCCAGCGTTTTGACTACTTTTAGGAACTTATGATGATTTTTTTTTTTTGAGTAATTCTTAAGACATGGAAGATTTTTTAATGAATGTTTTTGGTTTTGTTAAGATAATTAAATAGTTATGTGTTAAATGTTTAAATTTTCATATATAATATTGTTTTTTTTTTTTTTAAATAAATAACCACTAAATAATGCTTAAAAAATATGTTCGTTTTTTTTTTACTAATTTCTTACGATTTTTTTTTTAAATATTTTGTAAATACACTTAATTACTAATAAATAAGCTAAGCAACAACCATAAATATTTATGTATGTATATTAAATTTTATATAATTTATGTTAATATAATATTTATTTATTTTGTTTTGTTGAAAACTACTTAAAATTTGTATTATTTATTGCGTTTAAGAGTACTAAATATTGAATTGTTTTTCAAATTTTTAATTAATTAATTTAAATTATACTAAATTAATAACAAATATTTTGAGCTTTAAATGAGCAATTGGGAAACAAATTGTTAAAAAAATATTAAACAAATTTTTAAAAACTTATTCTTACTTAAATTTTGATATATTTTACTAATTTCTACTAAATATTTTTACTTTTAAATTCCCAAAAAATTATTACTAAATTTTATAAATTTTTCTGTTTAATAACATCTACTAAAAAACAACCATTTAATTTATAAAAATTTTTAACTATTAGAACAAAGATTTTATAATACAATTTTATAACAAAATTATTTTCACATTATGCTACTTGTTTTTTGTAATAATAAATAACAACTATTAATGTATAAAAAAAAGTATTAAAAAATCAAGTTTAACTACAAAAAAATGTTAATCATATATGAGCACATCATTTTTTCTTCTTCTTCTTCTTTTTTCAACGAGGTAGCATAATATATTATTATTTTTTGTGTTTAAAGTAAATATTTTCATTTGAGCTAATTGATTTTTAATAAATTCTAACTCAAAACTTTAACTAAAAACTAGTAATGCCGGGTTTTTTCAATTTTTAACAGATTTTGAAAAATAGTAGTAGAAAAATTTTATTTGAAATTTGGAGTAAAATGCCAAAATTTAATGTCAGTTAAAGTATTTTATGGCTTTCTGCTTAAATTTAACAAAATTGAAAATAGTAGTAGAAAAGTACTTTTTTGAAAATAGTAGTAGAATGTTAAAATTTGCCAATTGTAAAAGAATTTAACCATTTTATGCTTAAATTTTATAAATTTCAAGGAATTTTGAAAAAGTAGTAGAAAATAAAATAGTAGTAGAAAAGTACTTTTATAAAAATAGTACTAAAATCTAAAGATTTTAAAGTATTTAAACAATTTATGCTTAAATTTAGTCAATTTCAAGAAATAGTAGAAATTTAAAATATGTAGTAGTAGAAAAGTACTTTTTATAAAATAGTAGCAAATGTTAAAATTTATAATTATTTGAAGTATTTTAACAAATTTAATTTAAATTTGATAAATTTTTTAGAACTTTTTAAAAAGTAGTAAAAATATAAAATAGTAGTAGAAAAGTAATTTTTGTAAATGAGTAGTAAAATGTTAAAATTTGCCAATTTTTAAAGTAATTAAACGATTTTATTATAAATTTCAAATAAATTTTGAAAAAGTACTAGGAAATAAAAATAGTAGTAGAAAAGTACTTATTGCAAAATAGTAGTCAAATGTTAAAATTTGCCGCTTGTTTAAAAATTTAAACAACTTGTGCATAAATTTAATAAATTTCAAGGAAATTTTGTAAAAGTAGTAGTTAATAAAAATAGTAGTAGGAAAGTACTTATTGCAAAATTGTAGTAAAATGTTAAAATTTGCGACTTGTTTAACTTGTGCATAAATTTAATACATTTCAAGGAAATTTTGAAAGTGTAGTAGAAAAGTACTTAGTGGAAAATAGCAGTTAACTGTTAATTTTTTAACTATTTAAAGTATATTAACAAATGTAACTTAAATTTAATCAAATTCAAGGAAATTTTCAAAAAGTAGAAATTTGAATAGTACTTTTATAAAAATAGTATTAAAATGCTAAAATTTGCTATAGGTTTAAGTATTTAAACAATTTATGCTTAAATTTTATAAATTTCAATTAAATTATGAAAAATTAGTACGTAATAAAAATAGTAGTAGAAAAGTACTTATTGCAAGATAGTAGTTAAATGTTAAAATTTGCCGCTTTTTTAAAAATTTAAACAACTTATGCATAAATTTAATAAATTTCAGGGAAATTTTGAAAAAAGAGGGGGTAAAAAAATAATAGTAGAAAATTTAACCGTTTTTTTTTTTTAATTTAAACAATTTATGCTTAAATTTAACTAATTTCAAGGAAATTTTGAAAAAGTTGAATTTTGAAATAGTAGTAGAAAAGTACTTAATGGAAAATAGTAGTAAACTCTTAAAATTTGTAACTATTTAATGTATGTTAACAAATTTAACTTAAATTTAATCAATATCAAGAAAACTTTTAAAAAGTAGTACAAATTTTAAATAGTATTAGAAAAGTACTTTTATAAAAATAGTATTAAAATGCTAAAATTTGCTACAGATTTAGTATTTAAATATTTTATGCTTAATTTTATAAATTTAAATCAAATTTTGAAAAAGTAGTAGGTAATAAAAATAGTATGTAGTAGAAAAGTAATTTTTTAAAATAAAAGTACTAAAAAAGTACTTTTTTGAGCTTAACATATCGAATAATCTGTTAAAATTATCTTATTTCTAATAATTTTAAATAAAATTCGAAGAAAATTAAACTTTTAAAAAAAGTAGTAGAAAAGTACATTTTTAAATAACGAAAAAAATCGAAAATTTTTGTTAGTGTAAACAAATATCAATCTTTTTAAATGATTTTTCTGATAATTTGATATAAAATTTTTATAAAATAACAAAAACTACCTATTTTTACAAATAGTACTAAAATCTACTACTATTTTCAAATATGTAAAAATAACAAATTTCTGTAAATTTTAACTAAATTTTACTTAAATTACAAAAATTTTAGGTTTTTTAAATCTACTACTTTTTCTAAAATTTTAAAAAAGTTAAACATTTTTAAATTTTCTTTTTTTAATACTTAATATAATATTTTTATACAAAATATCACAAAATTTCAATTTTTAAAAAGGTAGTAGAATCTACTACTATTTTTCAAAAATGTTAAAAGAACAAAATTCTTCTATTTTAAATTAAAACTAACACAATTAACAAAGATTTTGTGAATTTAGTACCCTTTTAAAAAAAGTAGTAGAATATATGTACTACTATTTTAAAATCTCATTTTTAGGGCATTACTAGTTTTTTCTATAATAAAACAAAACATTTTAAATGAAATTCCTTTAAAAAAATTATAATTTTTATGTTAAAAAATAATAATAATCACACTGTTACACACACATAGACACTGAATAACAACAATAACAAAACTTTTTATTTATATATTCAAATATAGTATTAACTTTTTAATAAAAGTGAACATTTTTTTGTTATAATTGAACAATTCCTACTGCCTTCATTACGAGTATTTGCTTTTTAATTTTCGTAGTTTGTTTTTGGTTTATGTTTTTCGTTAATTTTCGTTTTAATTGTGTTTTCTTACATTAAATGTTTTCAATTGTTTATAGTTTTTAAAGGGCTGTAAAAGAGTCTATAATTATTCGTTTATAAGTATTATTATGTATGTATGAGTAAATTTTTGGTTTCTATTAATTAGTGTGTGACAAAAATATGCAGTTTTATGAATTTTTGAGAAAATATAAGCTTTAGGTGCTTTTAAAAAAGGTGGTATTTACGTGAAAGCTGTGTTTATAAAATGTTTGATTTGTGTTGGAGAAATTTTGCACAGTGGGTGTGTTTTCTATAAAAATGGCACTATATTTTCTAAAAGTTGATGTTAAGTGAGGGCTGGAGAAGAAATTTTAAACTTTTCTTGGGAATAAACTTTATAAGTTTCAAATCTTTCTGAAAAATTCATAAGCTTTTCAAAGTTTTCTCTTTTATAAGCTTTTCAGAAGTTAAAAAAGCTTTCATTGAAAGATTTCAAAGCTTTTTTCAATAGCTTAAAGCTTTTGGTTATAGTAGAAAAGCATGTCAAAAGCTCAAAGCCTTTGACAAATGTTTAAAAACTTAAATCTTCTAAAAGTTATAAAAATGTTTCAAAGCTTAAGTCTACAAGCTTTTCAAAAGCTTAAAGCTTTTAGCAATCATAAAGCTTTTCGGAACTGCTTAACCTTTGAAAGCTTTAAAACCTTCAAAATCCTTTTCAACTCCCTTAAAAGCTTTAAAGTTTCTCCCTTTAACTCTCTGCAACCTACGCACCTTATATCAACTGCTGCCTACTTTCCGATCTAAAAAGCTTAGCGACACTGTGCTTTTTTCTCAAACCCTTAAAAGCTTTCTTCCGCCTAAAGTATAACAACCCCTAAAGCCAAAAATCAAATCACAGATCTAAACTATCCGGTGGTGTCGGTTTCATGGGCAAAACACCAAATGGATCATCGACCATATGATGGGCTTGCTCAATATCAAACGCCACCGCTTCTTCATCATCATCCTCATCACCCAGCAATTCCTTTTCATCACCATGAAATATATATTCCTCAACATCGGTGTCATAGCATGTATCCAAATTAACCTCATGTAAATTCAAATCCAGCTCCAACAAATCCCACGAACCACCAAATTGTGCCAAAGGTATAGAGACCTCGGAGTCTTTGTGATTATTGCTTTGGACATTATTTTGATTGGGAGGTACAAAATCGTTGGAAAAAGTATCGGGATCTCGTACGGGATTGGAGTGGACCGAGGGCGACAGATTGGCTGTGGGAGTTTCGGGGGTGGTAAGGGAATTGAGTACAGAATCGTTAGCGGGTACGATATCACTTTCATCTATAAAAGAACGACCCACGGAGCTTAGCGAGAATTCCAGTAATTTGGAGGATTTTTTGTTTAACTGTGGTCTAGTGCTGGGTTCAACTACCTTGGCCGATGTTTGTGTCTGCTTGGGTAAATTACCATTTTCAGGTCTTATATTTACTAAAGAAGCGGTGGTCACACAATATCTGCCCTCTGTATCTATTAGCAAATATCTTTCTTCACCTGTATTCGAACAATTTTGTCTTAACATTATAGCCTTAAAGTCACCATTACCCTCATTAGCCCCCGTCTCAGTAACATGTTCCGGTATGGCGGTCAAACATTTACAACCCGTCAAATGATCACTAGAACAAATGGTCTGAGTATTCAAACTACTACCGCTGCAGGTGAGCAGAGTAGAGGAATTATTATTACTGGCATTATAGGCTCTGCAAGCCGACAAGGGCCGGCCATCTAGCAAATGTTTACGCCCTAAAGCCAAAGACCTTAAAGAGGTGGCACTATCGCCCGGAGGCCCTAAAGCATTAATGCAACCACTTAAAGTGCGTCGACAGGTGGCTGGTGAATTGGTTTGCGACGAACACGAAACCGAATTATGGGTTGTTTGTGTCATGCGTGTGCTACAGCGTGATTGTACTAAAGTGCTGGCCAGGCGCTGGAGATTCTCAAAAGAACCTCCAGTGCTCTCACCACTATCTACACAACCAACCATACCACCACCACTTAACGCTTTAGAACGCATCAAACGAACCTGTTGTTGTTGATGATGATGCTGTTGATTCTTCATATTGATACTGTCCATGGAGGAGAGTTTTATGGAACCTATAGAGGCCGAGGCAATGCCTATGTCACTAAGCGGCACCAAGGTGTTGAGAACATCAGGTGAGTCCAGGGGACTGGACAAAGGTGTTGAGCCCAGAGCGGCATTAACTAGGAATCTGGAAAGAAGGAAGAATGTTTATTGAAAACTAGGTTTAAGTTCTAGTTTTAGTTCAGTTCTAGTTCAGTTCTAGTTCAGTTCTAGTTTAGTTCTAGTTTAGTTCTAGTTCAGTTCTAGTTCAGTTCTAGTTCAGTTCTAGTTCAGTTCTAGTTCAGTTCTAGTTCAGTTCTAGTTCAGTTCTAGTTCAGTTCTAGTTCAGTTCTAGTTCAGTTCTAGTTCAGTTCTAGTTCAGTTCTAGTTCAGTTCTAGTTCAGTTCTAGTTCAGTTCTAGTTCAGTTCTAGTTCAGTTCTAGTTCAGTTCTAGTTCAGTTCTAGTTCAGTTCTAGTTCAGTTCAAGTTCAGTTCTAGTTCAGTTCTAGTTCAGTTCTAGTTCAGTTCTAGTTCAGTTCTAGTTCAGTTCTAGTTCAGTTCTAGTTCAGTTCTAGTTCAGTTCTAGTTAAATTCTAGTTCAGTTCCAGTTCAAACTCACATTTGTCTTTGCAATAGATTCTGCCAAACAGCTTTCAATTCCAAGGAGGGAGCTCTCAACACTAAGCTCTTACGTCGTGCCCCTTTCTTAGGAGTCTTAGTCAAATCGGGCGCACAATAACCGGTGGGACTTTCAGCTAAACGACCATTGGGATCTACAGTAAGGCGGAACTCTGTAGCTGTTGGCACATAACAAAATAGAAAATAAAATTAATCCCATTTTCCCTCATCTCTCTGCCTCCCTTTTACTTACTCTTTTTTCTCATATGAAAACACGAATCCACAATATTCGCTATGGGTATGGGCTCTTCGGTAATAAACAGTACACGATCTCTACTAACTTTGGCAAATACTATAATATCACTAAACAGTAAAGTCCAATAGGGTTTCACCGAACGTCCTTCCACCCTAGATAAATCGCCGCCAAATATCCATTGTCTACCCTGCACTGCCAAGGTAAATGGTTTACATTTGGTAAACACCATTCTGGACTCCAAATCTTGTAAGGTAAGCAAAGGTCTACCCTCACCCAAGGGTTCCATCAGACCACTAGTAACGGTAATTTCACGATAAGCTGCTTGCAGCTCATTAATAACACTATTGAAATTTTTGTGCTCTTCCGTGTCCACGTGACAATTGGAAGCCAAAAGCTGCATTAGTTTTAAGATTTCACGAAAATGCTGGAGAGGACGGTGTATAAACATCGTTAAGTCGGGACGTTTACGAGGCACTGGCGGTTCGGTTATAAAGTTCACAAATTCAGAACCAGTTTGACGGGACTTATTGACCTGAGAAGTAAAACAATTTAATAAAAAATATTACTTTTGGATAGTTGAATAAAAACCTACCAATACGCAATCCGCTCTTTTAATACCATTACAATACTTCTTATAGGCTGCACATATCGCTGTGGTCTTAGACAAATATACTCTGGAGGCAAAATTCATTTGTGGCTCTTGATCATCGTGACACAATTGCTCTAGAACATCTTCTGATATTCTTAACAATTCATCCATATTTGAAATAATGTTCGATGATCATTGGGTGTTATAAGATCTTTACGTTCTAGCAGGGGCTGTACAAAACGTTGCATGCCAAAGTGTATTGCAGACATGAAATTCTGTTCTCTGCTGATTAGTTGTAAAAGGAAACGTCTGCGGTTGTCGGTTATGGGGGCAATGCTCTGGGATGGAGAAAGAAAATAAGTGAAGAATGAATAAAATTTGTTTATAGTTCTGTTCTGGTTCTGGTTCTGTTCTAGTTTTGTTCTAGTTCTAGTACTGTTCTAGTTCTGTTCTAGTTCTGTTCTAGTTCTGTTCTAGTTCTGTTCTAGTTCTGTTCTAGTTCTGTTCTAGTTCTGTTCTAGTTCTGTTCTAGTTCTGTTCTAGTTCTGTTTCTAGTTCTGTTCTAGTTCTGTTCTAGTTCTGTTCTAGTTCTGTTCTAGTTCTGTTCTAGTTCTGTTCTAGTTCTGTTCTAGTTCTGTTCTAGTTCTGTTCTAGTTCTGTTCTAGTTCTGTTCTAGTTCTGTTCTAGTTCTGTTCTAGTTCTGTTCTAGTTCTGTTCTAGTTCTGTTCTAGTTCTGTTCTAGTTCTGTTCTAGTTCTGTTCTAGTTCTGTTCTAGTTCTGTTTCTAGTTCTGTTCTAGTTCTGTTCTAGTTCTGTTCTAGTTCTGTTCTAGTTCTGTTCTAGTTTCTGTTCTAGTCTGTTCTAGTTCTGTTCTAGTTTCTGTTCTAGTTCTGTCTATTTCTGTTCTAGTTCTGTTCTAGTTCTGTTCTTGTTCTAGTTCTCTTCTGGTTCTGTCTAGTTCTGTTCTAGTTCCGTTCTAGTTCTATTCTAGTTCTATTCTAGTTCTATTCTAGTTTCTATTCTAGTTCTATTCTAGTTCCATTCTAGTTCTATTCTAGTTCTATTCTAGTTCTATTCTAGTTCTATTCTAGTTCTATTCTAGTTCTATTCTAGTTCTATTCTAGTTCTGTTCTAGTTCTGTTCTAGTTCTGTTCTAGTTCTGTTCTAGTTCTGTTCTAGTTCTGTTCTATTTCAGTTCTAGTTCAGTTCTAGTTCTGTTCTGGTTCTGTTCTGGTTCTGTTCTGGTTCTGTTCTAGTTCTGTTCTAGTTCTGTTCTAGTTCTGTTCTAGTTCTGTTCTAGTTCTGTTCTAGTTCTGTTCTAGTTCTGTTCTAGTTCTGTTCTAGTTCTGTTCTGGTTCTCTTCTAGTTCTGCTCTAGTTCTGTTCTAGTTCTGTTCTAGTTCTGTTCTAGTTCTGTTCTAGTTCTGTTCTAGTTCTGTTCTAGTTCTGTTCTAGTTCTGTTCTAGTTCTGTTCTAGTTCAGTTCTAGTTCTGTTCTAGTTCCGTTCTAGTTCCGTTCTAGTTCTGTTCTATTTCTGTTCTATTTCTGTTCTAGTTCTGTTCTATTTCAGTTCTAGTTTTGTTCTGGTTCTGTTCTAGTTCTGTTCTAGTTCTGTTCTAGTTCAGTTCAAGTTCTGTTCTAGTTCTGTTCTAGTTCTGTTCTAGTTCTGTTCTAGTTCTGTTCTAGTTCTGTTCTAGTTCTGTTCTAGTTCTGTTCTAGTTCTGTTCTAGTTCTGTTCTAGTTCTGTTCTAGTTCTGTTCTAGTTCTGTTCTAGTTCTGTTCTAGTTCTGTTCTAGTTCTGTTCTAGTTCTGTTCTAGTTCTGTTCTAGTTCTGTTCTAGTTCTGTTCTAGTTCTGTTCTAGTTCTGTTCTAGTTCTGTTCTAGTTCTGTTCTAGTTCTGTTCTAGTTCTGTTCTAGTTCTGTTCTAGTTCTGTTCTAGTTCTGTTCTAGTTCTGTTCTAGTTCTGTTCTAGTTCTGTACTAGTTCTGTTCTAGTTCTGTTCTAGTTCTGTTCTAGTTCTGTTCTAGTTCTGTTCTAGTTCTGTTCTAGTTCTGTTCTAGTTCTGTTCTAGTTCTGTTCTAGTTCTGTTCTTGTTCTGTTCTAGTTCTGTTCTAGTTCTGTTCTAGTTCTGTTCTAGTTCTGTTCTAGTTCTGTTCTAGTTCTGTTCTAGTTCTGTTCTAGTTCTGTTCTAGTTCTGTTCTAGTTCTGTTCTAGTTCTGTTCTAGTTCTGTTCTAGTTCTGTTCTAGTTGTGTTCTAGTTGTGTTCTAGTTGTGTTTTAGTTCTTTTCTAGTTCTTTTCTAGTTCTTTTCTAGTTCTTTTCCAGTTCTTTTCTAGTTCTTTTCTAGTTCTGTTCTAGTTCGGTTCTAGTTCTTTTCTTGTTCAGTTCTGGTTCAGTTCTAGTACCCCATTTGATAGTTTTTAAGCTTTGATATGAAACTTTTAATAAAATTCAAGATTTCCATATTTTTTTTTTGAAATATTTAAATTTTATTGTCATTTTTATAAGGCAAAGAAAATATAATTTTTAATGAATTATCTACAAATTAATAGAAATAATTAAAAATTTACAAACTAAACCAAAAAATTTAAATACAAATAAAAATTTGTTATTAAAAAAACGAGTTTTAAACTTAATAAAACAGTAATAGAAAAGTACAAAAGAATATTAATAATAGATTAATGAATAATAATAAATAAAACTAACAGCTGGTTAACAAAATTATCTAAATTTAAAAATTTACAACTAAAGATTTAACAAATAATTTTAAAATGTCTTTGGTAAGAGCAAGTATTTAAGCCTAAACATATACATGTATAATTTATGTTAAAATTTTGTACAAAATTTTGCAGTTAACCAGCTGTTATAATAAGAATAAAGTCACTTGGGTTTAGCATGTCTTGAATAAATGACAAAACAGTTAATTATTTAATTGTTTAAATGAATTTTTTAATTATAAAGATTTTAATAATTAAAAATGCTGTGTATATGTAGTGGATTTATAAAAAAGAGCATACTTATAGGGGTTTAACACAATGTTTAAGTTGAATGAGAATGTTAATATTAACAGCCTATTAGTATGCTATAGTTTTATTTAAAAAACAAAGAAAACAATAGAGAAGTACAATAATAAGGAAAATTAAACTTTAATTAAAATATCAGTAAATCTCAACAGCATTTTTGATAGAGATCGAACTTCTCGGAAATGTAGACCTAAATTCTTATCTGAAATGCTGCTGAGATTTTCTTTTCACACTTAGGAAGTAAAATATAAATATTATTAAAAAAATTAAAACAAAAAATCTTATGAAAATAATAAATTCGTTATATTTTATTAATAACATAAAATAAACTATAGTATACTTTAAGGGGTAACAAGAAATTATAAAATTAATATGAAAAATAACTAATTTAAAACAAAAAAATAATTAAAAATTAAGCAAATAAAGTTCCTCGAAAAATTAAAAGAATTGCGAATAAAAATTGACAATTTTTATTATTTGTGGGATTTCAAAATAAGGGGGATTTTTATTAATGAATTTGGGAATTTAAAAATTTTGTTTAAAATGACATTATTTCGCCGTTATTTCATAGAATTTACTAAAATTTTTCTATTTTGTATGATTTTTTAAAATCCCAGTTTGGGGATTTTTGCTAATGTATTTGGGAATTTAAAAATTTTGCCTGAATATGTTTTACTTTGTCACAGTTTTATAAAATTTATAAAAAATTTTAGATTTTGTAGGTTTTTAATAAATCTCGTTTAGGGATTTTTGCTAATGAATTTGGGAATTTAAAAATTTTGTTCGAAATTTCTTTATTTTGCCGTTACTTCATAAAATTTATAAAAAAATTTAAGATTTTGTATGTTTTTAATAAATCCCAGTTGGGGAATTTTCGGTAATGAATTTGGGAATTTAAAAATTTTGCTTAAAAATTGGTCCTTAGGGCAATATTTCATCAAAAAAAATAAACAAATTTTAAAATTAGTAAGATTTTAAAAATCCCACTTTGGGGATTTTTTTAAAAACTTTATGAATTTGAAATTTTTATGCGAAAATGAACATTATTTCATAAAATTTCTTAAAATCTTAAAGCTTTTTGAGTTTTTTGAGAAGAATTCTAATTTTTTTCATGTTTTCCGCAAATCCCAGTTTAGGGATTTAATGGGATTGTTTATCATAAGTTTGGGAATTCTAAAATTTGAACTTTTTCATTGAAAAAGTTCTAAAAACTTTATTTCAAACCAAATTTGAAGAAAAATTTTGTTAATTTTCCTAAATTTTCATTTCCCCGTCATAAAGGGGATTTTGGTTTTTCATTTGGAAATTCAGTTTTTATCAAGAATTTATTATTTTTTTTTAAAGATATTATAGTTTTTCCTTAAGAATCCTTGAATTTATTCATTTGTTAAAGAATTTTTAACTTTTCCCGTATTTAGGGATTTTATGGGATCATTTGCTATAAGTTTGGGAATTCTAAAATTTGAACATTTTCATTAAAAAAGTTCTAAAAATTTAATTTTAAACAAATTTTTAAGAAAAATTTTGTTAATTTGCCTGAATTTTCATTTCCCCGTCATAAAGGGGATTTTGGATTTTCATTTGGGAATTCAATTTTTATGTAAGATATCGTTTCTTTTGAGGGAAATTCTAAATTTTCACTAGGAATTCTTTAAATTATACTTTTATTGCTGTTTTTACCATTTTTTCCCATTGGGGGGATTTTATGGGATTTTTTGAAATCAGTTTGGGAATTCTTTAAATTAATTAGTTTTCTGGTAAATGTTTTTAAATTTAATTTTAAAACAAATTTTAAGAAAATGTTTCATATTTTGCCTGAATTTTGATTTTCCCGGCAAAATGGGCATTTTTAATTTAAATTTAGGAATTAAATTTTAGTAAAGATTGTCATTTAAAATCTTTAAAATAAACATTATTATGGGATTTTTGCAATCAGTTTAAGAATTCTTCTTATTAGTATTAAAAAAATCTACTTTTAAAAATGTTTTTAACAAAAAGTTTCATTCTAAAAATGAATTTTTGTTTTCCCCGGCAAAACAGAAAGTTTTGTCTAGGAATTCATATTTTGTCTTAATATATTAAGTATGTATGTTTAATTTACACTTAGAGAGCAGTAATAAACTTTTTCCAGGGAATTTTTCTCTATAAATTGGGGAATGAAAAAGTTTCATTCTATAAATGAATTTTAGTTTTCCCCGGTAAAACGAAAAGTTTTATTTAGGAATTGAGTTTTAATCTTAAAATTTTAAGTTTACACTTAAATAACCGCAATAAAGGTTTCCCCTTTGGGACTTTAGGGTATTTTTCTCTATAAATTTGTTAATGAAAAGTTTCATTCTATAAATGAATTTTAGTTTTCCCCAGCAAAACGGCAAGTATTATTAAGGAATTGAGTTTTAATCTTTAAATGCAGTAAGTATGTTCAAATGAGCACTTAACGTATTAAGCTTAACCCCTCTTAAGGGAGGGGTTAATCTGCTCAGGGGATTTTTCACTATCATTTTAGGAATTCTCTAATTTTTACAAAAATTTCATCAAAAAGTAAAAAAAAATTATTTTAAAAGATTTTTCCTCTTAATCTTTCACACAATCACCCCCTTACCCACCTCTTTACTAAACGTAACCTGAGGTAAATTCAATCTTCTTTTGGCGGCCTCCAACGATGAATTCGTATTCACCGAACAGGCAGTCGAGGGACGATGTGGTTGTTGTTGCTGCTGCTTCACACCACCACCACCAGCCATTACAGTTACGCTCATTATTTCATCTACAGGATTATTGATACTGGTACCACTAGCAGCCATTCGCGAACTCTTACCATTCATGGGTAATGTGGTGGCCAAAGAGCGATGTGTTGCCGTAGTCATGGTATTATTACTGCTGCCAGCAGCACCAGCATTTGTGCCAGAACCTGATCTTCTGAAAATCTCCAAAGTGAGTGTAGCACCTTGGGAACGTATAAGATTTAGAACATCAGCCTCGGGCATAGTGACCACATTATGTTTGTCGACAAAAATAACATAATCACCAGGATAGATGCCACAGCGATCGGCCGAAAGTCCAGGCTCAACCTTTTCTACTCTTGGAGGATGGGTCCAAACGATCGAGAAACCAAAGCCCCGTTCAGCTGTACGTGTTAACTTTTTGGTCATGGTAAAGGGTGTGCGTCCCATTGGCTTAGGATTTGATAATCTTCTGCCGGCCACCGGTGTACCACCTTGTGTTGGTGGAGGATCTGTTATGGGTGGATCTAATTCCAAGAATCTTAAGAAAAGATTTTCATCGGCATCACGTTGATGTAAAGCTTTTTTGCTTAAAATCATGGGCTGTTGCTCAGCACCCAGTTGACCGGTGGCCATGCTATCAATACTAACAGCATCATCTGTATTACGCATTTGGGTCATAGTGGTGGCCATTGTTGTGGTTAATGTGGGTGGCGAGTTTGTAGATATAAAATGATTATTTGCTAATGACTGTTTGGGGCAATAATGATTAAAAGTGGTGGTGGTGTTGACGGCTGCTTGTTGAGCCTCTGCTGCTGCTAATGATGAGTTGGTTAATGTTGGTTGCTGTTGGTGATGTTGAAGTTGGTGTTGTTGCTGTTGCCAGTGTTGCTGCTGTGGCTTATTTAGACATGTTTGGGTTTGTAATTTATAGGAGCCATTGATTTCCTGTTGCTGCAGTAAAGTGGACAATGGAAATGATATACAACCTAGAAATTCACTGCGTCTGGAAAGAAAGAATAGATAAATTCATAAAAATTTGTAAATTTAAAAAAATACAGAATATTTGCTATAAAAAAGCTAAAAACTAAAATTTGTTTAGATTTTAGGGAATTTTGGGCAAATATTTTGGGAATTCTTAAATTCTATAAAATTAAACTTTAAATGTGTCCGGAAATCCCTTACTTTTAGAAAATTTAAACATTTTTAAGTTTTAACCATTTTGAACTTCCCCTCCTAAGGGGATTTTCTTTAAGGAATTTGGGAATTTGTTAATTTTATCTTTTTATTATTAACAAGTATTAGAAATTTATTTATTTGCAGTTTTAAAGCAAAATTTCATATTTTTATTGCTTATTACAACTTCCCGGTTTCTGGGATTTTTTAATTTTATTTTAGGAATTCAGATTTTTTATAATTTACATTAAATATTTCAAAATTTGACAACAACTAACATAAATTCCCTTTAAATTTTATAATTTAAATCGGTTTTTCCTTTTTCCCTTTCAGGGGATTTTGGGATTTTTTAGGAATTTTAAAATTGTAACATTTTATTATCAAACAGTATTAGAAATTTTTAGAATTTCAGTTTGTAATCAAAATTTAATGTTTTTCTGGCTTAATCCAATTTCCCGGTTTCTGGGATTTTTAAATTTTATTTTAGGAATTAAATTTTTGTTAATTTAAGCAAAATATTTGAAAATTGTACAACAACTAACATTAATTCCATTAAAATTTTATATTTAAAACTGGTTTCTACATTTCCCCTTTTCAAGGGAATTTGGAATTTTGATTTAGGAATTTGATAATTTTTACATTTTATCATTAAAAAGTATTATGAAAGCTATTTTATGGCGGTTTTCTTTGAAAATTTCCTATTTTACTTGTATTTCACAACTTCCCGGTTTCTGGAATTTTAAAATTTTATTTAGGAATTAATTGTTTTTATGGGAACTCAATTTTAATGGAGAGATTTGTGGTTTTTAATTAACTTTTACATTTAAAAGCCTTTAAGTAACACTTTTTAGCAGTATTTAACACTTCCCCATTTAGGAGATTTTATGGGATTTTTTAAAAAAGTTTGGGAATTCAAAATTTTTACTATGTTTAACATTTAAATGCAAGAAATCATTAGTACTAATTAATTTTTAAGAAAAATTTTATAATTTTTCTAAATTTAGGGTTTCCCGCTATATGGGGGTTTTAATGGGATTTTTTTTAAATGTTGGGAATTCAAAAATTTGATTATTTTTAACATTTAAACGTATTAAGAATTTATTTTATTTACATTTTAAGAAAAATTTGGTATATTTTCGGAATTTAGGGTTTCCCGGTTTAAGGGAATTTTAAAATTCATTTTAGGAATTCAATTTTTTTTACTTTAAATGAAAAATTCGTATTAAACGAGATGATTTTTTAAGAAAAAACTTGATTTTGTCAGCAATTTGTTTGCATAAAGTGTCCTTCTATCTGTTTTACTCTTAGATTAGCTATCATTGGCTATTTTTTATACAAATCCTTACAACAAACAAGCTAAGTCATGCAAATTATTATCCTGATTTGATTTTCTATACCTTCTCCTTAATCCCTTTCTCTTGCCTTCTTTTCCTTATATATTTTAAAAAACACACTCATCAATTTTATATGATTGTCATCATCATTGTGTTTAGTATTACGTTTCTCTTTCATTCTTTGAAACACTTTAACAATTATTTACTATTTGATTGATGAGACAAGATTTGTGTTTTTGTTATTGTGGTGGTGATGGTGTAGGGGGCAAGTAGCAGCAAACTATAGAGCAAATTTTCAAAAGATAAACATGAACAAGAAGACAAGAATATCTATCTAATTTGAACTAAAATATATTGAAACAATATGGAGCAAAAAAGTACAAAAACAAAAAACAATCAAAAGTGGTTTAACAAATATTTATACAATAAAAACATAATCAATCAAATTGTAACGAATTGAAAACTATTATTCAATGTTGAATAGAAAAAAAAAACACATTTTGTAACAATAATTTAATGGATAAAAATTAAAGGATAATAAGTTATGAAATTTAAAGAAAATGTCTAGTTTCTTTGAAATGTTTTAAAATTGCTTCTAAAGTATACGAAACGAAAGTTTAAAACAGTTTGAGTTTAAAGAAACTGTAGTCTAGGCGTATGATTAATATTAATTTAATACAACATCTAGGCGTATACTTGATATTAATTCTACATTTGTAACAAAATTTGATTTTAAAAAGCAAATTTCTAAGGCGTATGCCTTAAATTATACCACAGACGTATGATTAATATAAATTCTTTTCTTATTTCAGAAAAATTTAATGTTAAAATCACGCAATTTTCCATGAATTCTTTCAAATGAATTCATAAAATTATTTAATTGTCTTTTAAATTCTTTAGAATTTTTATTCCTTAAACATTTTATAGCAGACTTAAGGCGCCGGTCTTTACAAAACTTTATTGCTTAAATAAAATGTCCTTTTAAGTCTAAGGGAAAGCCTCCTACAAAAATATTACATTCCTTTTAATTTTATTCTCTTTATAATGGCTGTTTAGCTTAAATTTTTACGACAACAATCTCATTTAAGCATAAAGACGAGTCATAAAAAGGAGCAAAGAATCTTTCATACACTGCTGTTAAGATTTGTTCATCCGTTTGTCTGTCGCTTCGTTTTGTTCGTTTGTCTTTTTGTCTGTCTGCTTTTTAATATGTTTGTCTTTCCCTCCTTCCGTTCGCGTTTTTGTCTGTCCGTCATTCCATCTATTGGCTAGTCTGTCTATCCGTTTTTACATCAATATACATTTTTGTCTGTCCTCCCGTTTCCCTTCTTCTATTAGACTGCCCTTTAATTTATGCATCTGTGTATACGACACTACTTCTGTTTGATTGTCCGTCTTCCTTTTAGTCTGTTTATCTGCCCGTCATTACATTTGTCCATCTGTCTTTCCATCAGCACATATATCTGTTTGTCTGTCATTCCCTCGGTCCATCTATCTGTTTGTCTGTCCTTCCCTTTATCTAATTATCTGTTTGACTATTCTTCCCTTTACCTAGCTATCCGTTTGTCTATCCTTCTCTTTATCTAGCTAACTGTTTGTCTATCCTTCTCTTTATCTAGTTAACTGTTTGTCTTTCCTTCCCTTTATCTAGCTATATGATTGTCTGTCCTTCCCTTTATGTAGCTATTCGTTAGCCTGTCCTTCCCATTATCTTGTTATGTGTTTGACTGTCCATCCCATTATCTAGTTATGTGTTTGTCTATCCTTTCCTTTATCTAGCTATCTTGTTTGTCTATCCTTTCCATTATCTAGTTATGTGTTTGTCTGTCCTTCCCAATATCTAGCTATCTATTTGTCTGTCCTTCCCTTTATCTAGGTATCTATTTTCCTGTCCTCCCTTTATCTAGTTTTCTATTTGTCTGTCCTTCCCTTTATATAGTTATATATTTGTTTGTCCTTTCCATTATCTAGCTATTTGTTTGTCTGTCCATCCCTTTTTCTAGCTATCTGTTTGCCTATCCTTCCCTTTATCTAGTAATCTGTTTGCCTATCCTTCCCTTTATCTAGTGATCTGTTTGTCTGTCCTTCCCTTTATCTAGCTATATCTTTGTCTGTCCTTCTCTTTATCTAGTTATATGTTTGTCTATCCTTCCCTTTATCTAGCTATCTGTTTGTCTGTCCTTCCATTTGTCCATCTATCTTGGCTGTCTGTCCTTCCGTGTGTCTTTCTTTATGCCGTTGTCTGTCCTTCCTGTGCGTCTGCCAATCTGGAATTCCAACTGTCTATCTGTCTGTTCATCCATCTGTTGTATGTTTGTCAAACAATCTCTCTAGTTTCGTACATGTCTTCCTTTCACTCAGTCTGACCGTCCTTTCAATTGTTTATCTACCTTTTCACCAGTTTATCTATCTGTTTCTCAGTTCCCTTGGTTCATTTATCCATTTGTCTATACTTTCATTTCGTCATCTATCCCTTTATCCATCTTAATGTTTGCCATGTTTCCTTCCATTTGTGCATTTGTCTATCTTTCAGTCCAATTCCCTTTCCATCTGTCCATCTATCTGATGCATGTCTGTCCTTCCATTTGTGCGTCTGTTTATCATTCAGTTGGTTTATTTGCCTGTTCTGTCCTTTTTCCTTCTATAGGTTTGTCAGCCCTTCCCCATGTCTATCTAGCAATCAACTGACTGTCCATCTGTCTATCCATATATCTATCTGTCCGTCTGTCTTCACATCAATCTATCTGTTTATCTACTTTTGGGTTATATTGTTATTTATCATAACCAAATAGTACACACACCCCTACTCAGTTTTATTTTTAGTTATTTTCATAAATTTTTATTGATTTTATTTTAGTTTTTCATTCAAAATTATTTGCCATTGTATCTTTTCTTTTCCTCCTTTTTTTTGCAAACATGTATGTATGTAGTGCTTTTCTATAAGGAAGTCTTAGACAAATTACACTTGTAATTGGTTTTGTTTAACAAGCATTATGAAGGCAATTGTTTCCAAACACTAGCACAGCAAACAACTTTTTACAACCAGCAATAAATGCAATTTGTAACTAAAATAGTTTTTTTTGTAATAGAAATTTAATAAAAATATATATTTACTAAGAAAAAACTGCTAGATTTAGTTAGAAAATTAAAAAATTTATTCAAACGTATGATTAAGATTAATTACAGCATTCATGGAGGCGTATGATTTGCAATTAATTAAGAGCATTAAAAGAAAAATATACGAATGAGGGATAATTAAATGTAATTGCAAAATTCTGAGAAGAATATAAAGAATATAATGAAAAGTATTTCGCCAACAAAGAGAATTAAATCAAACCCCTTTGACTTTATTGATTAAAAATTTAATAAATTTTTCAATAAATATAAAAAATTGGTAAAACTTTATTTAATAATTGTGAGCTCTTTCACCTGAGGATTTGCCAGTTTTTAAATTAAACTTTGCCTCCTTTTTTCTCTTTGCAAATTTGTCTAGAAT